GTATAAAATCTAAAATCTTTGACCTTTTCATGGAAGCAAAGATACCAACTATGAGATGCTTGTTTCAGTCCATAGATGGACTTTTCAAGCTTGCACGCCTTATTAGGGAGTTTTTCATGCTTAAAACCTTATGGTTGATCCATGTAAACATCCTCAGTCGGTTTCTCGTTAAGGAAAGAAATTTTTACATATATTTGCCATACTTCATATTCATAAGAAGTAGTCATGGAATACAATACCCTAATTGACTTAATCTTAGCAACTGGTGAAAAAGTATCATCATAGTCAATCCCTTGGGTTAGAGTAAAACCCTTTATAACTAGCCTTGCGTTGAAGGTCTGTACATTACCATCCATGTTTGTCTTCTTGTTGAATATCCATTTGCAGCCTATAGGCTTTAACCCAACTTCTTGATCAACCAAAGTCCACACCTGGTTATCATACAAGGATTGGATCTCGCTATCCATCTCCTCATTCCATTTAGCAGCCCCAGGGCCTGTCATCGCTTCCTTGTAATTAGTCGGCTCATCCAAATTTACCAATGTGTTATCACTGATAAAATTATCTTTGTCTGTTGTTATATGGAAACCCTAGAAATCAGGTGGTGCGCTAATTCTACTAGATCGACGAACAAATAACGAATTGTCAATATGCTCAGCAGGTTCAACCTCATGTTGAGAGCTAGTGTCATCGAAGGTTCCTTCATTGGATGCTCTTGAATTTATTCAAGATCAATCGTACTCCCACTAGCATCTTTTGAAATGAGCTCTCTTTCGCGAAAGACTCCCCTTTGAGCTACAAAACCAACATTGTCACCGGACCTGTAGAACAAGCATCCAAATGACTTTTATCGATAGCCAATGAAAATACATCTATCGGCTTTGGGTTCAAGTTTATCTTGGGTCTCGTGCCTAACGAGAACCTCACAACCCCAAACTTGATATGTGCGAGCGAGGGAGGTTTCCGTGTCCATATCTCATGAGTGGTTTGGCAACCTTCTTGGTAGGAACAAGATTTAGAATATGTGTTATTGTTTCTAATGCATATCCCCAGAACGATATAAGGAGGGAAGCTCGACTCATCATAGAATGAACCATATCTATCAAGGTTCGATTACACCTCTCAGACACACCATTAAGTTATGGTGTCCTAGGAGTTGTCAGTTGTGAAACAATTCCACATTCCTTTAGATAGTCGTTAAACTTGATACTAGTATATTCTCCACCTCTATCAGATCGGAGCATCTTTATCTTCTTTCCCAATTGATTCTCTACCTCATTCTTAAACTCTTTGAACTTTTCAAAAGTTTTTGATTTATGCTTGATTAAGTAGATATACCCATATCTACTAAAATCATCAGTAAACTTCAAGTAGTACCGATTAGCATCCCTTGTGACAGATCTGAAGGGACCACATACATCAGTATGGATGAGGGCCAACAAATATTCACCTCTTTCACAAGTACCAGTGAAAGATGATTTAGTCATCTTGCCCAACAAACAAGACTCGCATTCATCTTCTGATTTGAGGTCAAACGATTCCAACACTCCATCCTTTTGGAGTTGGGCGATACTTTTCTTGTTGATGTGACTAAGACGACAATGCCATAAGCATGATTTTCCTAAACTATTATAAGAATCAATGTTATAAACATTATTGCCAAATTTATTCACACAAACAATAGTTTCATACACTCCATCACAAGGTTAAGCTTCGAAAATAAATGCACCATTACGATAAACATTAATTGTACCATTATTATTATCAAAACTATAATGAAATCATTGTCTAAATAATGCATGAAAAGAAATTATGTTTCTGGCCATTTCTGGCGAATAGAAAAAATTGTTTAAACCAACCCTAACACTATCAAACACAAGCTCATAAGTCCCAATCCTAGTAACAGCCGAATTTTACCTATTCCCCATGATTAGGTTCAGCTTCCCATGCTCGACCTCCTCACTTTCCTTTAGTCTCAGAAGAGCCAGACACCTTGCCCTTAGCTTTCTTTGACTTCTTGTAGGTACTTGGGACAACTTCTTCTCAAATGGCCTTTCTGGTCACAGTGAAAGCACACAACTTTTAGGTCCGCAACAGGAGGGGTATCGAAGTTGGGCTTTCCCTTTGATCCACTGGACTCTCTAATGTGGGCTTTCCCTTTTAACTTGGTTTGGGAATGATCCTTTCTATTCATACCCTTTCCTTGTTGGATATCCATGACTGGGGCAGTTGCAACACTGTTAGAATGAGACTTCTTCATTCCTGCTTCAGCTATTTGCAATAGATTGTAAAGCTCAATCAACATGGTCTCGGTATTGTTCAAATGATAGGTCAATATGAACCGATCATAACTATTGGGCAAGGATTTGAGCACCATATCAATAGCAACCTCCTTATTAAAGTTCACATTGAGCTTTTCCAATCTTTCTACGTGCCTCTCCATTTTCTACACATGAGTGCACACAAATTCTCCATCGTTCAACTTGCATTCCATGAGGGCCTTGACGACTTCGTAACACTCTTGTCTAGCTTTCTTGAGAAACATTTTAGACAGAGTCTGGTTCATTTCATCAGGCTAATAGTCCTCATAAGTCTTCTGGAGCTCAGGTGCCATGGTTGCAATCATAATGCAAGCAACCTTTGTTGCGTCGTCAACATGTTGGTTATATTCAACCATTTCTTCAGGAGTAGCAGATTCTTTGTCAATTTCAGGAATTGGAGTGTCGAGAACATACTCTTTGTTATCATATATCAATGTCATCTTCAAATTTAGCAACAAGTCCGTGTAGTTCGGACCAGTGAGCTTGTCTTTTGAGAGGATAGACAAGAGAGTGAAGTTGTGAGTAGTTAGAGGAGGAGGAGGAAGTTCATCATTTCCAGACATCTAAAACAAGAGATAAGATTTTAGTTATTTGATTCATTTCCTTAATATTTTAACTCAAGTAAATAATCAAGCTAGGATCCATATATACAATTGAGAGGAAAGAGGGGAGAAATGGAAGATTTTCAGATTTTTCTCTTGGAAAAGGTCAACCGAAAATGCAAGGGGTTAAGGCCCTATTTATAGATGCTTTAAAACCCTGAAATCATAAATTTTAACATATAATAATCATAATATTTAAAATTTAGTAATTATCTAGTTTCCTAATTATCAAATGGAGGCTTTTGGAAACCCTAATAGGGTCCTCCAAAACTTTCCATATGATGGAAGGTTGTGGAATCTTTATGTTGTTTAACATTTGAGCAATTACAGCTTAGTCTTTGTACCTTTAATTAATTCTAATTAACCCATAATTAATTCCAAATTAATTATGATTAATTCTTAATTAAATATTGTTATTTTTAATTAATATATTAATCATATAATATACACTACTAGAAAAACAGCCTTTTACGACACGCAATACGTGTCGTAAAACGCTTAGACGACGCGCAAATGCGCGTCAATGAAGGCCCTGTCATAACGAGAGACGACACGCTTTTGCGCGTCGTAACCTTACGACGCACGTTTACGACGCACAATGCGTGTCAAGGAAGGCCCTGTCATAAAGAAGATGACACGCATTCGCGTGTCATAAAACGATTCACATTTACGACTTGCATTGCGTATCATTAAAGCGCATGTCATAAAGAAAGACGACACACATTTTTGCGTGTCATAAAGTTTAAATGTTTTAAAAAATATATATATTTTTTGTAAATTTACTAATTTTCAAATTACATCACACATTTAATGTCTCATAATATAAAATAAAATTTCATACACAAAAAATAAAATAGATTTCATAAATTATAATATGTCATACAAATAATCATTCAAATGTTAAACAAAAATAATACATTGCTAACATGGGTTATACATTCCTATAAAACTAACAACCCTCGGTGACCTTGATCTAGATCGAGGTCGACTTGGATCGATGGCGGCGATTCGGCGATTGGATTTTAGATACAGGACATTATTACTGACCTTGTGCAACAAGTGCATCTCATGCCCTATGTCCACTGGGAATGGATGGCAAGTAATGACCTAAACATTAGATGAAACAAAAAAAATAAAAAAATAAACTTTTATTACTCACACAATCAAGTTTAGCTACCTGATAGAGTTGTTATATAAATATGTTATTAACTAATTTGACCAGATCAACATAAGATATAACAAATAAATTGAACATACAATCCTATAATGGAAACAAATTAAAGTAGGATGTTTTAATAAAACTAATAAATAAAAGTGCATTGTTATTTCTTGCATTTAGCAAATCATTGTATTTGTATAAGATTAGAAGTTTACCCTCTGTGGTAATTCAAGAGCTGACCTTGATGAACTTGATGGATTTCCCTACAAAAGACAACAAAAATTCAAAATTATTTGTTACGAATGTGTCATTAAGCTAGAAAAAATCGCATGTCAAAAGGTACTCTAATCTATACACTATTAATTAAAATTAATGAATGTATTTCAACAAATAAGAAGTAGAATAACAACTTTGACCTCACTTTCTATATTGCTTTAATCTACAATATTCAGTACCTGTTTCAATTCAACCCTACTCAGCCTACTCTCCAGTAACAATAATTTATCAGACCACATATCCAACTCAGAAAACAATATCTACAAAGTCACAAGACAAAATGGAAAAGAACCACACCAGGGTGTAAACCGCATTATGTACAGATTGAACATCTAGAGCAATCACTTTGGTATCCCCACATATTAAAGAAACCTACAAGTTTTTTTTAACAAAATATTCCATAAACCAACATAATATTTTACATACAAAACACAAAGAAACTAGCCAGCCTTTATCTTGTCGCACCTCCTCTTTTTTAGCAGCAGTACTTTCTGCAACCTAAACACATAAAAATTAAATAAAAATATAATTTACCACTTTAACGTCTAGTAGGCTTCCCTTTAATTTGACCGTTTCCCAGAGAATAAATGTTTCGACTTCAATGTCGGAATGACTCTATCGCCCTCACCCTTTTTAGCAGCCTTATTCCTCTGGTGAACTGAACTCTTTCCCATTTTTTAACTCCTTCACCTTTTGAGCTGAAGCCTTATACCCTTCACCTGGAACCATTTCATGCACAGGTGGCCTTGACATTGACCTTGCCCTCAAAATTGACCTTAACTTTGACCTAATCTTCATCTTCTTATTCGACCCTTCATCATCATCCACATCCATTCCATCACCATGATCACTTAACCTCTCCCTCTTTCTACACCTTGACTCACTTCTCACCCTTTTCATTGCTTTTGATGGATCAAGACCTAATGATGACAGCTGTCTCCCCATTCTTTCTGATGTAAATTGTCTTTATCGAATTTTCTTGGAACAATTGGTCTGCTTTCTGCTGTGCTTTTCTTGATTCTATGTTCACGAATTAATATACTTTTCTTTTTCCTAATTTCATTCAGCTCTTTCTGTTGTTCTGGAGACAAATCCTCACCTTCCATTTCTTCATCTTCTCCATCTCCGTGTTCTTGAAGAAGCCCTTCTTCTTTCTCCAATTCCTCTAGTCTTTGTAGAGTATCCTAATCAATAAAATCATACACGTTATGCCCATCGAGTATTTCAGGCATGTTATCTTCCTTCCATTTATCATCAGCTAAAAGATAATGTTTCTTCAAAGTTGCAGAGTAAACACCCGCTCCATCATTTTCATTCTCATTATCCCTTTCGAGTTTCCTCTTCACCTTTTCAGCTTCCATGGCTTTAGCTTCAAGAACACTTTTAGGTATACAAACAAGTCTTTAACTTTCTTTGACTTCATTTTGAATTCAACTCTCTGATCCAATAACCTCTCACAAGCTGCGTTTTTTACCGCGATTACCCCTTCTTCAGTCAAAGTACTCATGGTCAACAACACCTGTTGACCATCTACAACAAAAATATTCATTGCTTCTAACTAACTTCTTATCATCTTCCGAAATCCCTTCCAAAGATTTCAAATCCGTCTTGTTAAAGACTACTATCAACACGGTCAATCCTCGTAGATAAATGTCTCTTGGTAGCCTAAACAACATAATAAACAACCCAAATTAATAACAAAAAAAATATAACTAAAACTTGTTTAAACTTTAAATAACAAAGTTTTTAAATAACTTACTGCAAGTGATGAGTAGACAGTGTCAAGTTGTTTAGCTACAGCACTTGTGGCATCAAATAAACTTCATTTTGTAGAAAACATCATATCAGGAGGTTTCCAACCCTGTTAATGATACCATATATGTTAGTTGAAGAAAAACTATGTACAAGTTAACTGTAAAAAAGTAAAAATATTAATATATGAGCTTATATTTACCTTCAACCAAACATATCCGTATCCAAAAACAACAACAATGATAATGACACCATATTTGTTAGCACCTACATGAGAAAAAAAACAATATATCAAGTATTAGGGAGTAACAAAAGAAACCAATTTCAACATGAATCATTTCATATTAAACCAGATAATGCACTTCAAATAAAATAAAATAAAAATCAACAAGCCTGATGAACCATTAGTGGTCACAATCAGGTCTATTTGATGCCATTAGAAACATTGGTATTATCCCTTTGGATGTATGCATCATTTATAGACTTTAAATGACCAAATGCATATTCAACGAATTGGCTTGCTTGTACAGGTTCTGAGCCAATAACTTTTCTCAAAGTAGATTCAAAACCATAATATACCTTTCATTAGTGCTGTCGGCTTTTGAATACCACCATAATACCCCAAAACTTTACAGTTATGCATTGACCGGGTCATGATGGTCAAACATTTTAAGACACGAAAACCTTCAGGTGTAATGACCAAGCTACTTGAAGACCCTGATATGCCTGTCAATGAAGGCAAATCATTAATGTTTATTGAAGTAATCTCATGCAGGAAATATAAAGCACTTTGTGGTGAGAACTCGTCATGAACTTAAATGAGTACCAAAAATAACACATATATTTATTTCAGAACAAAGGACTTGATTAAGCATAAACTAGTTCCACATATGACTGGTTTCATATGGGTTGTTATACTTTTACTCATAAGAATATAAACCAATGGAGATTAAAAAATGAAAAATAGGTTAACTTACATTCAGTGACCATAGCTGTTATATTTGTAACTTCTTCTATCAAGATCACTATGATTTCAGCAGGATGTGCAGTAGAACAGCCAATGATGATCTCATCAGGATTTTCAGACTCCTCCCCATATGCGACACCCAAAGCAGCTTCTGTGGAATTATCTAAATCTAATGGCTTCCAATTCTTGTATATTACAAAAAAATGTTTAAGAAATATATGAAAAGCCTTTTTATATTTCTGCCTGCAAATTCAGACAAGTCAATGTTAGGTAATGTATGAAAAAAGTTCAATTTTAATCGATAAATAGTTTATGCAGTGATATCGCAATACCTTTCCAGAGACACTTTGATATCTCTCCCATAGTGAAGATAAAAATTGCCTCATCACCAATATCACTGAACAGAAAACAAAACTGGAAGTCTTAAAAACTATGCATGTACTCAAGAATTATAAGAAGAAAAAAAAACAAGCAAACTAGACTGCATTTCTACCCAAGAAGATATATTTTTTTGTTTATAGATGAAAAAAACAACTCTATTTAGGTCCTCACTTTTACTCAGAGTTCACTATTCAGTATATGCCTGAAAAATACCAGCTTCATCTCACCAAATCCACACCACACCAATACAAATAGGGGGGGTGAAGAAACCGAAACCCTAATTCACAGATTTCGATCAAACAAACTAAGCGACACTACACCCACCATATTCAAATCGATCAAATAAAGAGGAGTGAAAATCTGTAAATGCTTTACCAAAAACTTAAATGTGTAGATAGGATCGTCGATACTTATCTTGGTGGTGGACTGTGGCACGGCCGACGACGTCATACAAATCAGCGACTCCTATTGCTTTCGCCCAAGTGAGTCTCCAACGAACATCACCGCCCTCGACTTCGTTCACTGTCGCCACCCTCAACTAAATAAGATATCAGAGGCAAATAAGGTATCAGAGGCAAGGGATTCAACCAAAATAGGGTCGGTACGTAGTCTCCGAGACGGTGACGCTGATGAGTCGCAATCGCCGGTGAAGTGAGGCGAGCCTGATGAGGTCGCCGGCCGGTGAGATGAAGTGTTGCAGTCATACTCTAGCTCGATCTTCTGGAGAATGTTGACGTGAAAAACCCTAGTTATCGTGTGGGGGGCTTTAGGGTTGTTTTGGGATGCTAAGGGTTTGGTTAGAGGTATCAGTAGAGGGAACAAGGGATACTGAGAGAGGATCGATTGAAAAGGGGTTTTAATTTTTTTGGACAAAATGTTTCTTACCAATTAACAAACCCTAAATGATTCTTAACAATTATATTGCCGGAAAGTAGGGTAGATCGGAAGAGGAGAGGATGAGGAACACTATATCTCCGGGTTTGCAGAGAGAAGGGAAGAAGAGAACGAAGGGAGATGTTGAAGCGGATTTAAAAATTTTAGAATTTTAAGAGGATTTCCTCAAGAACACGCGTTTTGAGTAAAAAAAATAAAGCGACATTCACAGAGGACGCACATTTTTGATAAAGTGCCCTCCGTGTTTTTAAGTTTTTTTACATGAGACACTAATTTAAGGGCACGCAATAATGTGTGACCAAAATCCTTAAATTTTTTGAAGAAATGACACTTTTTTAATGTCAGTCTCTTTTGCGTAACATAAATCAATGAGTGTCGTGGTTTGCGCGTCCTAAAAGGGTCTTTTTCTTGTAGTGTTAACAAATCATATATATATATATATATATATATATATCAAGGTTGTAGAAAATGTTAGACGTTAGCTAGTCGGTGGACTGGGGTCTAGAGATTAATCGGCTAGGCGGGGATTAATCGGTGACCATTAATTATTCAAAAATTTATAAATCTAACTTTAATCGTAAGAATATAAATAAATAAGCATAAAAGTTTAATAATAAGTTTAACAAGCAAAACAATTTATCATCCAATTAATAAGAAAAGTTATTCAAATTTTAATATATCTTAAGAAAAGAAGTAAATTTGGGTATTTGTATATTTGAAAACATAGAAATTTTGAAAATTTTAGAGAAAAACTTAAATTTTTTTTTTAATTTTGTTATATATTAGTTGAATATTGAAATACTATAAACTTTTGAAATTTTGAAAATTTTGGTTTATTATTTAATATTTAAAAATTTGAAAATTTGGCCGATTAGGCCGCCTAGGACCGGTTAGGACCGCCTAGGACCGATTAGAGCCGTCTAGCTCCGACTTTTACCCCCTTTGACCAAAACCGATTAAGTCGACTGATTAACCTTAATCATATTCGGTTGAAGACCGTCTAGCGATTAATCCCCGATTAATCGGCCGTCTAGATCGATTTTTACAACACTAATATATATATATATATATATATATATATATATATATATATATATATATATATATATATATATATATATATATATATATATATATCCTAGCCATTTCTTGGTTATGAGGGCAACCCAAAAGGACTTTACTTTTATTCTTCAACATTATACCAATTTAGTTAGGACCTTAGACACCTTAATCCAACATTAAGGTGTATATATGACATTATTACATAATAATATAAATAGAAGTATTATTACTAAAAAGATTAACATATATGAAATACTTAATACTATGTGTTGAATATATACACAAAATTAGGATACTGTTGTCTAAATAGATATGGTATAGGATGCTGATTACAGGGATCGTAGTCTAATCTAGTTTCTAAACTGAGACGTATAAAGGATGCTTAGATCTAATTAATTTGGATAATAGTATAGTTGTATACGATATTGCGATAGTATGGCATAAATAGGAAAACAATTTTAGATGTTGATTACAAGCATTATAGTCTTTCCTAGTGATGAAATAAGACTTATACATAATGCTTAGTTCAAGTTAAGAGCGTTTAGTTATACCATGTATTGTAAATATATTACATAGAAAAAAAATTGTGTTGATTACGGGTGTTGTAATATGGTGTTGTTATATACTAAGACCTAAAGGGGGTGCTTAGTTCAATTAAGATTGGACATTGGGTAACATTATATTAAGGTTGTGAGTGAGATTGAAATGGAGAATAGAACTTTGTTTGATGACACTGTTGTGATTTACTGTGGTACGTATTGCGTACTGGAGTACACTATTAGTATCCCCTCCTTTTATTTTTAGACAATTGAAAATGGTGAGTGTGTATCAGACCATCAGCAGGTATGTTCGAGTCATCCAACGGAGTATAGATGACTACCCCAACTTAACTGTCTTAAGGTGTTAATTAATCATAATGATCCAAAAGGATTGTGTGTTCATTCAATGTACTCTATCCCCCACATGGTTACCTTATTGACTAACACATGTTGTTAAGGAATCCCCGAAGCAGTATAGTCAACTCGTTGCTTATGGTGATCCTTCAGGATAGATCTTATAATATCACTGTTATAGGATCAGTATGTGAGGATCGACGAGATGGGTAACTAGGGGTGAAATGTCTTATAGATATTTATGGTGTTTTGTTGGATAACAGTTGGTTTTGTAGATTGTTGATTATGGATTAATATCATAATAACATTATGAGATTGAAAACCCTATCTATCTCACTATGTTTCCCAAATTGAC